GGATAACCGCTTGGATAATGTATGCCTTTACCGTGTAACAACTAAAAAAAGAACAAAATACACATAAATAAATAATTGGAAAATAAGTGGGACACTTTAATCAAAACCTATTTTATCTGTCATTCCCATATACATATGTATATACAGAATATCCATACATTTGTATATATTCGTATATTCAAAGATACTTATTTTCAATACATTCATTGAAACACAGTTTAAAACGCCATTATGTGTTTTAAATGTTGTATGTGTTTTGTAAAGTCTGGTTATTTCTGGTTATTTAAATGTTCAACAAAATAATCGATGGGCATTTATGGTTAATGTGCTTAGAAAATATATTAGAAATACTGTATTTTTCGATGTCGAGTGAAATATGATACCAATTACACACTTTTAATATTTTGAAAACAATAATAACTTTTTTATTTGTGTTTTATGTTATTGTTATACCAACAGAAATGTTTGCAATACAAAAAGGGATCACGACACCATATTCAGAAATTTCTGGATAAAAATATTGTTTATCAGAAAATTAATTATTTTAATTCAAAAGGGATAGAAATGTAAACAAAAGGAACTTAACACGCATATAATAAACATGACAATTATGAGCATCATTGGCACATTAATAATGTCAAAAATACGGAAGATACCGACAGGAATGATGACGACTTGACATTAAGCAAGGTTAAATAAAGTAAAAAATGAAGAGCTTTTTCGGAAATAAAACTGTCAACACAATAAAATATAACACAAAACCATTCTTTTCATTCTTTGCATTGAAAAAAGGCATTCATTCTTATGCGGACGAATGTGTGTGTATGCATGAGTTGAGTTTACGACTAGAGAAAGAAAGAAATCTTATACCTCTCAAATGAAATACATAGTTTTGAATTTCACTACAATCAGCAATGTTAAAAAAGGAAACCCAGGAAATATAAGGAGAAAACAAAAGCCTCTGAATAGCATGAATGACAGAACATTTTATGTATTTGACAATTATTTTGACATCGAAGTGTCGTAATGTTATAAGTGGAACACTTACCTCAACATTGTGATGATGTCTCATTACTAGGGGTCGATGGTGACCCAAATGAGCATCCGGATCTTCATATGTTACTGAGTGTCCAGAAGCCAATGCTGACAATGCTCCAGATATATGTGGACCTCTGGTGGGTGTTTTGCAGGGTAACAAATTTTGCACTTTTCGTTTGTTTCTATAAATAAAAAAAGAATAAACAAATTAAATATTTTAAACTTTAATAGAAAAGGAGACGTAATTTCCATTACTTCATCTTCGTCATGTTGCAAATAAGCTCAATTTGAAAAGTTTACTTAGCAAGAAATAAAATACCTAATAGTCTCCTATTATTCAATGTCGTTTCTTAATCATTGTGTTAAGATAAAACACTAGACATGTAGTACCACACTTCTGATATTGTTGCCACAACCAAACCCATAGTAGTTACATCTGTATGTATTTACAACATCTTTACTAGAATCCCATAATATGATAGACATTATTTGTCCTTTGTAAGATGATGTTCATTTGTTTTAAGCATCATTACTACTTCATAGACTAGACTCTTATTATAAAGCTACAAATACACCAGCAGCAACAAAATGGTTTTGGCATCAGAAGTAGCATCAACCGAAAGGAACGAGTAGAGGAAAGCGATGAAGTCAAAAAGATAAATCGATTTCTAATGTTTAATATTTGCTTAACATTTTAAAAGTATGTTTCGTGATGATTTTGTTGATGTTGTTTAGATGCTTCGTGTTAGTCTTGTTGATTTAAAGTAAATAAAATAATTTATTTTTTAACTTATAGAGTTATTTATAGCGAAACAAATTTTTTAAATAAAATATACTTTTCTAATAATGATAATTATTTTACTTCGAATTTTAAAATAAAAATTCTTACAAAATGCCACAAATCCTTATTAAATTTTAACCTTGGAACCATTACTCTCTGTATGATTGTCTGTCTGGGTGGTACTCGGTAGACATGTTTATTCTTACTGTTTCTGTCAATCGGTTAGTCACTTTATTTTAAATTCTTCGGCTTTTGTTTTACTTTTCTCTGTTAGACATTTATGAAATGAAATAAGCTATTTATGTATGTATGTGTATTTATATACTCATGTATATGTGTGTATGGATATGTATTCATGTAAATGTATTAAAAATTAAACATGCCAAGAAGTAGGCTTCAAAACGACATGACATGAAAAATTATAACATCCTTTTCCTTTTTTGTGTTCCTTTAATTTCGTCACAAAAGAGTAAAAAGTGGCAACTGCTTTAAAAGTTTTCCTTTTTCATAATGAGCCATGGAAATGACTGACATTTACAAGATGGATCTGATCATAAGAACAATACTTATGTATATGAATATGTGCGTATATTTAAGAGAAACAAATTAACGCCAAATTATGTTGTGGCGGTTTACCGTGATAATAAAGGAAGGCTTTAGGAAATGTTTATGAAATTAAGGAAATTAATTGTTTACATCTAAGGGAAGTGTTGATTGTCTTATGTACATATGCATATACATATGTGTATATGTATATTATCATAAAGATATGATAATAAATTAAATACTTGTGGGGTTTTTAAAACAGTTTTTTATTTGCAATTATGCCTCTATAAATTTACAGCTTCAATAACCCATAATAAACCCTTTTATGTACTCTTATTTATCACGGTGAGAGTATTCGAAACACATTTAAAGTTATATCGACAATACGTTCATAAATGTGTAAACATATGCTTTTGAGCATACAAATAAATATAAATACTACTCTATAAATTATAATTTATATAAATTTCGATTGATAATACTCAAGGGTATAATATTATTGTTTAAATGCTGTGCTTTGTTGTTGCTGATATTGTTATTATTTCTTCGATGGCAACATGAAGACGATGGAAAAAGTAGCAAATATGATTTCAAAATTTTCTTTAAATCTATTGATAACTTATAAATGTACATTTGAATACTTTGGCGCGGTCTCAAATTACTATTTTTCGCTTTTAGCCATTAATATTATTAATAATCTAGTTAACATATATTTTTATGGTAATTTAACAATAACATCAATTTATTTTTGAACACCAACAACACAAATGCATACATATGTATATGGACACACTTTTCAAGTCTAGTACTAAAACATGTATAGGTGGGTTTTTGTTGACAACTATTCTCAACATGATAAACAAAAAATAAAAAATGTAGAAAAATTAAACATTTTATAACCATAATGTGTTGGCATCTAATTAGCATAATTTGAAATGCAACATTTCCACGTTTATGTGAATGCATGTAAGCAAGTGTGTACATATTCATCGTTTTATTTATCTTCAATATTAATTTAAAGTTTATGTTAATTATAGATTAAAATAAAAGGGAAATGATAAATTATACGATTTTGTACATTTATTTTTTCACATTTAAATTGTGTGATTTTTGAAATAATAATTATTTTAAAAATATATGTATGTATAATAACTACTCATACTACAAATATTCTAAGTGTATTTGGCTTCATACATATATGTATATGTATCTACGTATGTATGTGTGTGTGAATAAGTTTTGATTTTGTTGTAAATTTTGTAAATAAACAATACACATACCACCAAGCAGGAAAAACATTGTAATATTTTAATACATTGACACTATTTATAAATAAATAAAATCTATTTTAAAACAATTTATCAAAAACCCAGAAAAAATCTTTACTTTTTCGTTTAAAACAAAATGAAAAAGGTAAAACTTAAATTTTGATTTGCTTTTTCAGGTATTTCTGATATAGGATTTCTTTATCCAAACACACTTAATGATTGTGTTTGCTAAAGCGCTCTTATATTCTATGATGAATGTTTGTACGATAATGTAAAAAAGATGTGAAACCATTATCATTCATAAGAAGTTTGCTTTATCTATTGGTATCTACAATTATATTTTGTGCAAGTATATCAACAAAATATTGTATATAATAAATATACTTATAAAATTTCGAAGAGATTTATTGATTGCTGTATATTATTATAGGACTAGACCAATTTAAATTATCCCTAGAAATTATAATATCTAAACTTAGAATTCAGGCCTACATTTGCACAGGTACATGAATCTATGAACTTTGAGATGTATAAATGCTGCAAATAAAATGATGATCTTAAAGAACCCCTTGTACTATATAGAGTAAACTTTTCCGCCACACTTTTGCTCTAAAGGGAAAGTTATACTCATAAATAAAATTAAATGTTATTTTATTTATATGGTCTTATGTTAACAAGACATCTAAACAAATATCTAAATACGAATGTTTGTGTGTAAATATATAAAGCCCAAAGGTTATTTACACATACATTGTTTTCTTGTGCGTGTAAAAGAAATATTACTATTATTATTTTTATGTTGTTTTCTTCTGTTGTTATTGTTGTTGTTTAGCCAATGAAATTCATATAAATAAATATAAACAGAAATAGAAACATAAACAAAAACTAACCAAAATTTATTAGAATGCGAAAGATTGCATAGAATTAACTTAAAAGAAATATACAACATATCAATGCTTTTAATATTATATACACTATAGTATATATAAACACATACATACATAGTATGTATATACGAATGTACATCTTGTACTCGAAACACAAAATACATAAATATGTAAATTGTTTAAAAATGTTTACAATAATTGAATAGATTTCGAAATATTTTTCTTTTTGTAATTGAGAGCATTTATATGTGTATTTATTATTTTTAGCTTTTTTATATTTTAAGGACAATAAAATAAAAAAAATATTGTAGTCATTAATTGTTAAGCCTTTCTTATAGGGTTTCCCAACCTATCTATATTTTTTCTTGGAATACTTTTAGTAACTATTTTCGCAACAATATGAGATGTTTATAATGCATATGTACATATTAAAAATATTTTAAAAATTGTTTTAAACTTTACTTACTTCCATACAAAAAGTGATGATATTAAAACAACTAAAACCAGGAGCAAGGAAAACACGGCTATCATGGCGGACGTTTGTAATGATTGGCTGCTATAAAGACTGGCATCAAGGATCTGCAAAAAGATAAAAACATAAAAATAATGTTTTGTTATACTATATTAAAATGATTTTTAATTTTTTGTTGTCAAAAAATAAATTTATAAACATGACCTTCTTAATTTTATATACATATGTATATAAAATTTTTTTGTTCTGTTTTATAGTCAACAAAAACAAGACACTTTTTTATTTATAATGTTTAATGATGTTGCAACCAAAGGTCACCAGGGAAAAGCTATAAATTTATACGAAAATTAAATATACATAGTTTGAATTTTGTGTATTTAAAAAAATAGCTTAGTTATTGTAATTTAGAAACGATTTTTCTTTTTGTATTTGAAATCTAAAATATAAATAAAAATTATTAATTTCATAATACTTAATAAAATTGATTTATTTGTTTTTAATATAAAAAGCTCGACTTGAAATTCATTAAAAAATCGAAATTATTCCTCATTACAAAAAATTGTTATCAGTAAAATTTGAAAGTAAGTGGATGTGGTCGTTTATTATTATGAAAACCATGATCAAAACCGCGTCTGATGTTTAGTAATTAATCATTTTTGTTTCAATGTTTTTCGTTTTCATAGTGTTTTATAAATGTTTATTTTAGTTATGGAGACACAGTTAAATAAACAAATATCAATTCATGCATTTGGAATTTGTTTTCATTTTGATAACAATTTAATCGATCATATTCCAGTTTTTGGAACAAATAAAGAAAAATATATATGTACATATAAATACATTCAATACAAATCGAGGCTATACAAATAAAACTGGTAGAATTTTAATGTTTGATTAATTTTAAATTGGGCGAAAAAGGGTACGTATGTATACATACACACACTCACTTATTTTCGTTTATACCTAAATATATAAATGTAGGACGAGAACTTATTTGTAAAATATGGCAATGGTTGGCTACTGGTTGTGTCCATGCATCATGCATGAATGTTTAAATAAATGAATGAATGACGAAAATCAATTGTAAACATATTCGTTCCCATTTCGCGTCTTTCATTCCTCTGTTTGCTCAACTTATCAGTTAAAGATATAAAAGCGTAACAGAAACACATACATACATTCAGTTAAATATTGGTTTTATTACCTTTCTGATTTCATATGTGTATGATTAAAAGATTATTGTTATTATTTTCGATCGAATATATAGTATGTATGTAGTTTAATTTTAAAAGAATGGAATTTTTCTAGTTGTTTACATGAGTTTGAAAATTTGTATCACAACTGTCACCGCTAAAGAAATATTTTCCTGTTGTTATTGGCTACCGTTAGAAAATTGATAAGCTTAAGTAAATATGAATGAATACTACCTATTGACACATACATACATATATACATACTTGAATATTTACACTTGGCTATTATTACTTACATTAAATTTGTACTTATTCCAACACTTTCTAATATTTCCTTATTAGTGTATATTTTTCTTTATCATATCGTAATTAAAATCTAAAATGCCAGTAGTCATTTATTATTATTATTGTGATAACAGTATTTCTATAATATAACGGTAATAAATCAAACACTTTTGAAATCCATTTAATTTTTCTTCGAAGCTTATAAATGTTCTGCTCGTAAAATCGTGTTCTAATTCGTCAAATGTTTTTCATCTTTCCTTACTTTTTAACTTAAGGGCTTTCTTCCGAGCTTGCAAAAGATCTACTTGGAATAGTTAAAGAACAAAAATGGGGTTTTGACGAGTTTAAGTAAAACAGCTTGCAAGAGAGTACAATCAAGTGAAAAAGTTCTTCGACAAATAATTATGTTTTATTATTAGATATTTTTTAGATTAATTGTTAACAAAAGAAATTTTAAACATCTTTCGTTGCTTTTTTAGCATATATATGTAACTGCGCTTGGGAGATTATTTATATTATAATATTTTATAAATAAATAAATAAGTAATAGGATTTAAAATTTTAATAAATTAAATTTGGTGTAATTTTAAACCTCTTGTTTAAACAACATTAATACTCGTACTGTGCCCTTAGAAAAGCCCACATTTTTCAATCTCTATTTTTACTATTAAAACTTTATCATAAGAAGTTTAAAAATTAAAACTTTTTATTTGGCTTAAAGAATAATCCTCAAACACATACAAACACACAAATATTTACCTACGTATAAAAATATTAGTTTTTCATAAATACGTTTTTTATAAAAATAAAAAAAAGAGCGAACACTATTGTCACATCATTTTCGTTTATTTTTGCCGTTTTTATTTATAGAATATTTCTTTGCACATGTAAGTATGAACATTTGTATCCTTTTTATTGTTCCCTTTAAAATGTAAGAGTATTTGTTAAAGGATTTTCAAGACAAAAAAAAAAAAAAATAAAAAAATAAACTAAAGAATAAGTGAATGAAGAAAGCAAAATAAATATGTATGTATGTGTTTAGTATGTTTAAGAAAAATAAAAATGAATAAATGTTTATATCAAGTGTTGATCTGTGTGTGTGTTAAATATATGTATTTGTCATGTGAAAAACATCATAGTCATGATAGATTTCAAGTCATTCTTCGCAAATAAATAGAAAGAAAAATAAATTAAATTGTAAACGTAAAAATATGATGCTACAGTAATAACGATTCCTTCGAAAATAAATGAAAAAAATATAGGATTTGGTTTTGTTTTAAATAAACTTATGTAATAATAGTATTTACTATATTCTATATGAATGTAGTTTATAGATGTATTAGACTAAAATATAAAAAAAGTATTTAGACTTAAAAAGTTTTGATTTTTTTATTCTCTCTTAAATAAGCTTATTTGAATTTGAGAATCCCATAGGATTTTTTAGTATATAAAAATTGTAGCAATCATTGATTTTTTTTTGATAAATTTCACTTTCGATTTCCCCTTGTAAATTTACTCTAGGGATATTAACTTTTCTTTTTTCCTACTCCACCTCAAAGTAGATAAAATAAATATTTGAAGCCTTTTGAATTTTGGGTCATGTTAAACAGGAAACATGTTATGTAAATAATAACCAATCAGTTGTTGTATTTTACTTTTAGTTTTACCTTTAACTTGTATTCATTTTAATAATAAAACTACATTTCAAGAAAATTTAAATGTATGTAAATGTGAATGTGATTTTAAAACCATTGTTACAGTAATAACACTTGATGACTTATTGAGAAGTTTTTTTAAATTTCCTTATAAATTTTTTGTTTTCAAATTTAAATTTCAAACTAATCCTAAATAAACATTAAAACCCAAAAAGTAATTTCTATTTTTTTACTTTTTTTTTAAATAAACACAATGTATTTAAGGTCTCAATTTTTTAACAGCTGTTGTTTTGAAAACTTTTGTCTTTTTCTTGTATTCAATTTTAGTTATTTATGAAAAGAAATGATTTTGCTAAACTTTTTGACATCAAATGTAAAAGATTTATTAACAGTTTGGGCAAGTGTATGTTGTGTATACAAATTCTATTATTCTATATATGTATGCATGTATGTACACATAGTTTTTGTTTAGAAGAAAATTTTCTTGACAAATATTAGTTAATATGACAGCTGTCAAATTTAAAATAAAAAATAAGACCCAAAGATTTATGATTACATTCTTTATATATTTATGATGAACGAAATTATTTAAATATGTATGTATGTTGCGTTTAAAAGTAAAAAGGATTTTAACGCATTCCAAAGAAAACTTGTTGATAAATATTTTAATAGGTAAATTCATATGTAGATATAATTACAAAATTCAACTGCTAGCAATACAGTTTTTTATCCCTTTTTTCATTAATTTAATTATACTTGACATTTAACAATCACAACAGATGTGTTGGTGATAATCAAAAATTATAAGGGTTTCTATTTATCATTATGATTGTTAGAAGTTTTATAAGGGTTTTTTCTCATTAATTTCTGGTAACACCATAAAAATACACTTTCGTACATAAATAAAACTATAAAATATTTTTACTTTTGTGTTATTGTTGCACCCGATTGCCCTAAAGCAATATAATACAAAAATATCGATTTGATAAATAATGTAATATTTATACATATGTATGTACGTACAGTGCTCAAAAGGGATAATTTTTCTGGGATAATTTATTTAATACTGTGTTTTTACTTACCGGTATTGCTTCGCACATATCGTTATCCCAAGCTTGTTGCGCTTTCAATGCCATCTCTTCTTCGTTGCAGTTGGTAGAAGCATCATAGGAAGCCATTGATGGTGGCCGTGGAGGTGGTGGTACCATGAATTTTGGTGGAGGACCCAAAGGACCACCACATTCATTACATTCAATAATATCGTCAAACATTTTCCACATTTGTAACAAAAAAATATTCAACGTAGGTCTTTTAGATCAAATTAAAATGAAAAAGCCGAATTTATTTTAAAATTAAAATAAACTAGGGTGGCGAAATAAAAAATAAAATTTTAAAAATAGTTTTTTAACAATTAAAGTTTTGTCATATTTTGATCATTTTTCTTGTTGTGTTTATTGTTTTTGGTTCGCTGATTTGGATGAATTCTGAAATGAGAAAAAGTAAGAAAATTCGAAACGTTTTAATAAATTTGCAATTTTTTATGTTATTTCAAATGTCAGCTGCTAATTGGGTTCCGGTGGATTCTCTAAGATACAATAGTCTATTTTAATAATCTGGTCATTTTAATCTTTGTTAAATTCACGTAGCACACATACACATGAATTATGAATTTACATACATACATATGTATGTATATGTGTGCTTGCCTATGTGCTTGAGCACATAAATATTTGGTTACATTTAATTTAATTTCTTCCGTTTTATGTTTTTTCTATATTTGTATCATTTTTGACCCATGAACAAAAGAAATTAATAAGATCTCATTATTATTCCTAACGCGTTTTAAAGTAGTTAACGAAAACAAATCTATAACACATGTTAATAGAAAAAGCAAAAATAAATGTTTGAAAATGTGGGAATCAATTTTATAGCATCTTAAAAAATTTGGTCTTTAGCTCTGATCAAAGAATAATAACTC